AAAGAATAAAAAGGTTTGATATTACGCGATTAGCTTAATGATATAAATAATAAATGCCAGTGCACTTTTGTGTTTTATTTTTTCCCCTCTGTGGATGTTTGGTTCATAGTAATCCGCAAAAGGGTGAATGGAAGCAGCTGCATTGTTTGTTGAATTTGTTGTGCTTTCTTGTTTTTCGAAAACACTCAAACAACTCTGGCAATTAGGTTAACTAAATGCTATATCATTAGCATAGTAGCATAGTTGAATTTGATGGGTTTTTTTGGGTGGATATTTGAAGTTTGAAAATGACTTTGGCCAGTATGCTATTAGGCTAAAGATTTGCATTAAACTAGCTAAAATGTTTGTTTAAAAAAAAAAACACAAAAAAAAAGGGTTGTCATCAGGCCGAGAGGGTTCATCCAAGTACGGCTTCTTGTGTTCCTGTAACTCGTTACGGATGAGCCACTCACATCCATTGTCTCCTTCAGTTAGTCTCTCACTGCGACTCAACGGATATTTGGCAATTCAGTCTTGACCGAGTTCATTTACGCTTTGCTGACCTCAGCGTGTACATGTGTCCGAACAATGCCGTAATGATATCATCCTGTGAACTTTAGTCTTCGGCTCCATTCAAAAGCGGGTGTCCATTCCGTTAGCTGTCAGCAGACGTTAAGAGAAATAAAACGACCCCGGTGCCCTGTAGGCAATGTGTGCGCTTTAACACTTCATTAAGGCCCCGAGGATCTCCGCTGCACAAGCAATTGTCTTGGGCTCGAACAAAAAGACTGACGCATTGTATCAGCTGGATGTAAAGTTATCAAAGAAAGTCCGATACAATGGCAGGAGCGGCCCAAATTATGAAACTCGTCTGGAAGGGGCCTCCTGCCGTGGAACCGTATTGTACTGTTTGTTGACGGTCCAGTTTCAGACTTGAGGGGTGAGATTCAGATGGGAAAAGCTCATCAGAGCTCATGTGAGAATGCTTTACATTAGGTTTGTCAAACTCATTTTCATCCGAGGCCACATTGTAGTTATGGTTTCCTCAGAGGGTCGTATTAAGTACTGGTATAGACACGTGAAACTTTATTGCATTTTCATACACAACTCGTTGGAGGGGGTGGGGGGACTACTGTAAAAGTATACATTTCTCAGATTTTGATAATAGATTGTTTTGAGTAAAACTCATAAAGGACTCATCCAAAACAAGACAGTCGTTTTATTCCTTAAAGTACAATTGCAAGGACTGAACTAACAGTGGTTAGACTTTAAAAAAATACTTAAAATGATTTAAGATGTACTGCAAGCAAATATTAAAAACGATGTACCTAAATATATGTTTGTTCTTGAAAATTAAATGCCTATGTATTGAACTTTAAAAGTTAAATAAAGTACAACTGAACCATACTTAGGCAGTGATTCTTTTGCATACCACTAGAGGGAGCCCACCAGACTGAGAATCACTGAATAGTTTTTAATTTGACCTGCAATAAAAATGAGTTGAAATACCCGTGCTTTAGCTCATCAATGTCACTACATCGATGGTGACCCCATGATGACGGCTCGCCATTTTATTTTCTTGAAGAGGTGCGCACTGGCGAAAAACAATTGGTATCTCCACGAATTGATTTGCGACATTTGTATCACTCCAGATTTACTATCAGGAGTGGGACAATTTAGAGTGTTCCATTAACCTGCCACGCATGTTTTTGGAATGGGGGAGGAAACCGGAGTACCCGGAGAAACCCCACGCAGGCACGGGGCGAAAAAAACTCTTTTCAACTTTGAAAATTCCCATAATTTGTCAAGCCTAATTCCATTGCGATCACATATAAAGCTTGGTAATGTGGTTTTCACCTCAAACAAAGCAGCGCACCTTGTGTACTGCTTATGCGTCAAAGCATCGGAGCACGTGGTTGACCGCAGCCTAAAAAGGAATCCTCGGCGTCATCCGAGGGCAGACGGCGGCTACTATTAGCCTTTTTTTTTCATATATAGCCCCCCCACCCCCCGAATGGCATGCAGTCTGTTGGCAAAAAGTCCTGTATTAAATTAGTGCCGTTTCACAGGGTCACTCAATGGGCGTTTTATTGGGTACAGGCAGTTAACGCATGACCTTTACAAAGAGCATGTGTGCACATTACAACAGCCAAGCGCCATTAGAGGACAAGGCCACGTGTTCACTTCTGATACGACTCCATTGCCCAACACTGGAAATTAACATTGGTACCAACTAACATATAAAAGTAGGGTTGTAAAATATTGTAATGCTTCAAAGTTGGAGATTTTACATGGTAATTAAGAGGACATTTTTGAATGGGACTGTGGTAGTATTTTTGGATTGGGTCGAGGGGCGAGTACATTTAACACATCCTTTCTTCTTTTGTTCTTACAATGAAAGAATCGATTGTTCAATATCACAAAATGTTTGAAAAGAAGAGCTTCCCACTAAATTAGCCTCAATTCCCAGTTAATTCTAACAGAATGGAAGAGTTAAAACACACCCAGGAAATTTCCCCGGGAACATTTCCCGTTAGACTTTATAGAAATTCACTGGAAATGTTGCACCTCTATGCAATCCAATCTAAAAGTATTATTATTATATTATTATTATTATTATTTTATTAATTTTTTTTATAAAGTGTGTTGATGGAAAATCTACAATAGGAAACTGAGTTGGTCACATTCCTGCATAACTAAGTTTTGCATATGACTAGCAGGGGCGAATAAACGCAACTCCAAAATCACCACTGATCACCACCCTGAACGTCCCCCCCCCGCCCCCGACAAGTTTTGATCTATTACATCATCAAAGAGAGCAAGCCATTTTCAACTTCAGATTGGTCAACAATTTGTGAAAATAACCCAACCACGTGGGGAACGGCCGATAGTGTCAATTGGTGAAATATTGGTTGAATTTGGACATGGGAGGTTTTCGTGACGATATGCAACTTGCTTAAAAATGACTGGTCAACTTCAGATTGGTCAACAATTTGTGAAAATAACACAACCACGTGGGGAACAACCGATAGTGTGGATTGGTGAAATATTGTCATATTGACCCAATTTGGACATGGGAGGTTTTCGTGACGAGATGCAACTTGCTTAAAACTGACTGATAAGACTGTCGAGTATGCTTGTGCTTGCGGGGATAGTTCCATTTTGATTAAAACAGACATCACCAATTTGCCAGTATTTTCTGTACCTTCTTAGATGCCTCCTGTAAACAAGCAGTCGAGCTAAAACACTTGGGGTAACACATCTGGGATGTCGAATGTTTCTGGGAAGGTGAAATAAACGAATAAATTACAATGGTAGTCAGAGCAGAGTCCATGTTTGGTGAGGACGGTGTGGCATGACTTGCACAGTGACGAGAAGTCATCTTTGAACATCCACTACGTACGCTGCTTTTGTTCCTCCTCGAAAAAAATATTTCATGACGTTTATCCAGCTCCTCTTGGTATTACCGATTTTAACGATTATACGTGAACCTCTCAGCTGATCAAACTACCTGTGAAGACCTTGACCGTGTGATTGATCAGGGACACGTTATCGACATAGCAGGCGCACACACCTGCCGTTTGTCACACGCCTTCTACTCGGCCGCACTCGCGACATTGCGTGACACCAACACGCCAGCTTTTCCTTATCCAAGGTCTTGATTTGCATGTCTCGAAAGCAGATGGGCTGTACCCACAGCATATGCTAATGCAGTTAAAATTTTGATTTCTTCTTCCGCTCACATTCCCAAAACATGCATTGAAGTTTGAATTGTGAATAAAGTATTGGTCGGTGTGACTATGAACGTGCCATCCTAGTGGCTTGCGACTAGTCCAGTGTGTACCCTGCTTGTCGCCCAAAGTCGGCTACGATAGGCTCTAGCACACCCGCATGACAAGTGCTATAATAAAAAAGTGAAAGTAGATTTTGTATAACGTATATAACTCATTTTACAAGGGGTTTTGAAACTACAGCCTGTGGGCCACATACAGTCCCACAGGAGCATTTAATGAGGCTCACCATTCGATTGTAAAAACAAATAAAACAGAAGAAACGTTTAAATCATAAAAATTACTCTGACCATAGTTTAGAGGCCAAAAAAAAAATGGTTGCCTCTGGGTAAATACTAAAACATCTCCCCTGCATACCACAAAGCAATAAAGCAAATGAATTTATACACAAAAAAATTTAAATCATACAAGAGCGAGTCATTATTTTCATACCAACTTTTGTTGTATTTTTAATGTCGTTACTCTGATGAAATCTACTACAGCTTTTTGAAACAACAAAGAATTATATTATTTTTATATAACCCAAACTTTTAATTCCCCAAAACAATCTAAGATGGTCTGTCACACATAGCTAAACTGTGCCTCGATTTACACTCTCCATTAAAAGAAACAAAAAGAATTTAAAAGCTCAAAAGAACCCAATTTCAAAATTTGAAGGGAAAAAACAAAACAAAAAAAAAAAAAAATCAAATTCCCAAAGCGCGCTTTCTCACTCGTTTTGCTCATTCTGTTAAGAAACGCCAAATTTTACCCGGACAATAAAAGTGTACATAAGGTGGTCGACACCACCTTTCACACGTACAATATTATGTGGCTCTTCTAGTACTTGGTTATTCAATGACAAACGCAGACGCAAGGATGTTATTTTTCGACGGAAGCATATTTCTAAATTTTTTCACCAAATTAAAGAAGCGCCAATACACGAAGACTAACAATGCAGGGTTGCGATGAAGACGCCCCCCCCAAAAAAAACCCAGAAAAAATAAACGAATGCTTACAGGCTAAGGTTTGTTTAATTTCACTTCAAGGAAGGATCGTGTGCACAATGTGCTTTTTATTTTGTATTTGTTTTGTTTTTTTTGATTGATGGTCTCTGTCTGTGTGAGCGCTGACCAAGCAACGCAAACTCCCCCCCGCCCTCCTACCACACTTCCTGAAATGCACACGTGGATAGTGGCCATTTGATAGCATGGAGTCTACAATACATTCACTGATGAAACATACCTTTTTAAACAATCACGCTCACTCGGTTTGTGGGGAGCGACTTCAGCCTTGCATCGTTCCATCTTGGCTTCCCTCCATGTATGGCACACACTGTCGAATCACAAGGAGCAAGCATTAAAAACATACATGGTTACATGTTGATAACATGGAACGCTAGTTTTTGGCCCCTCTGAACCTTCCATAGTTTTTTTTTTCTTTTTCATCAAATGCCAAGACATGGCTTCACTGTCTGGCTTTAGGCCACCTCGGCACAAGCAGCCCAGTATAATGCTGACATCCAGGTAACGTCGGCCAAGTGTGTGTGCGTGTGTGTGTGTGTGTGTGTGTGTGTGTGGGAGCGGGGTGGGGTGGGGGGGCTCTGTTAATGCTGAAACACAAGTGCGGGTATACACTTATCTGTAGTGAGGTCTTTTAGTATCCATCTAGATTGAGGATGTTCCAAGTCTCCCACCCCCCACCCCCGAATAAGGGCCACATTCAGAAAAAATGGAAAATAATGGGGGTGGGGGAAATTCACAAAGTGTAAGGCAATGATGGTAAGACCAATTCAACATGCGATTGGCCAGCACAGCCAAGCAAATGTAACATTTATCGGAGAAGAAAAAAAAAAAAGTTGAAATCTCGTTGCTCCACAACGACTGCAGTCAGAATCATTCACTCATTTCTGGACTTAATATCAAGTAATTTTTTTGTAGACTTTACAGAGAACTATCTAGGTCCACAATATACAAATTCTGAATCAAACACTCATTCCCAACCCCCTAATCACAATATAGGGATTTTTAGTGGCTCAACATGATTTATTTTTGAAACCAAAATAGATAAATATCTCCTGATGTTCTAATTAATTTACATTAATAGTGAGAAATTGTAAGTTGCTTTTTATATTTAAAAAAAACATTGAAGATAGCGTCACCTCTTGTAAAATTCAACTTTTTATGTAACAATTTTGTGTTTAATTAAAAAATACTGCGACATATTTCAACAATAACCTTTTCTAGTAACCTTTTGATGCAGGCCATTTAATTTCATAAGCATACATGACTGGCCAATGGGGGGATTTGGAAAAAATTTGAAAAAAAGACTCATAAATGACCCGCAGACATTTCCGATCTAGATAAATCGATATTTTGTGGATGAAGCATCCATCTGTCCTCCATAATGCTACTTGCTCTTTGTACAGCATCGGTTTGTTGCGACTTTGTTGATTCCTATATTATTAATACAAATGAATATACTACGTTAATATTACTGCTGAGAGAGACAGTTTCTCTCATCTTTCTATCTACTGAATATATATCGATGCACAAGTATGTTTCAAGTTAGAATTGCGCCAATATCGAGTATTTCTATGTGCTTAAAATGAACAAGGATCTCTAAAATAGAAGAAAAATGTTCCCCCCCAAAAGTCTAAACATAAAACGATAAGTTTTGTGAAAAAAAATAAGAATAATAAAATTTAAAAAAAATGGGGGAGGGCAAAAATTATGCAGGCAGGTTTTTTGGGGGTGCGGAATCATGCCGCATGGCGCTGAAAAAGGTGTGGCTTGTAAGATCTGCAAAAACAAACTCCAACCTCCATATTGGGTTCCATATTTGCGCTTATCTTGATGCCATAAGAAGGCAAAACAACTATCATCGAAGTTGGACCAAACAACGAAACCTTTTTTTGGGGAGCGTGAGGGTTTTGTGATCCATATGTCCGATCGTATCAGCCCAACAGTCCTTAGCAACGCATGCAAATGAGCAGCAGGCCAACTGATTGATGATGCAAACCTTCTCGCTACAGCCTTGTTGGTGACCCCTGACTCCTGCTGCCTCAAGGGGTTAAACTTATTACCCTTTGACTTGTGTGACCTCCGCTGTAAAAATAAATAAATAAATAAAATGAAAAAAGGTGCAAGGTTGAAGGATGACCGCCTCTCCGGCCAGAGCGTGTCCGGAGGGGCTGACCATCCAGAACCCAAGAGGGATGTGACCCCACACTCCCTGGATAATACTATGAGCAGGTCAATATAAGCTTGTGTGTGATTTGGGATGGGGGTAGGGTTTTTTTTTTTGTTTTTGTTTTTTTTTAAAGGATGAGCAGAAGATATGTAATTGGGTGTCCATATGGAAATTAAAGATGTATGTACTGTATTTCTGATTGTACTTCTTGATGGGATAATTTCTCTTCGGTAATGGTGAAGCTGTTGGAATGGAAATAAGTTTTAGCTTGTTCCTACTCCTTATACAGTAGATTTATTTTTGATGAGGTTTCCAAACAGCAGCCGGACCGATACACTACTATCAATGAATTTAGGGTGCAAAAATATGGAGGGAAATGGCCAAACCATCAGCCCAGTTGAGGGAAACGCAAAAATTGTAACTAAGAGTTTAAAAGAGTAAAACTAAATCACAAATACCGAATGTGCTAAAAAGTAGAATCGTCCATGGGAGACACGCGGAGTCGAATTTGTAATCCAAAGGGCGTATTGGGTGCTCGCCAGTACGGCACGTTAGAGGCAAGCCACTGCGTTCCAGTAGTCAACGTCCTGACTCACTCCTCCTTTCCAATCCATTTGGACAGACAACAAACTACAACAACTGTGAGAAATCTCGCTTGCTCACTTTTATAATCGCCGCAAAATGTGGATGTGGAACATATAATGTAAATGTAAATAAGACATTGCGTATCAGTAAAGTACAAGACAAATAAAACACACAGCCAGAGCACTTTGATGGATTTCAGTTTTTACACCATATTAAAATGTATTCATAGCAACCAACTGTTACCCATAGCAATTTTGTGTGTATTTATTTTAATCACAGCTCCTGAGGTTTTTATTCATTTCGAATCGCATGGCGGGCCAGATCAAACACTCCTGCGGGCCGCATGTGGCCCATGAGCCATAGATTGTCCACCTGCTTTCTATACAAAAGGTTAAACAAAAAAATAGAACTTATCTAATAGTAAAGCAGATGTAGGTTACAAAAAAAGTAAACAAGCATGGAGGGAACCCGGCATATCCACACGCCACGACCGCATGAACGCTGACCTATTAGGCGAGCCACGAGAGAACATCCAACAATGCATGAGGAAAACTTTACGGGTAGAAGAAAGTATACAAGAGAAAAAAGGGAATAGTACCGTCATGAAGCATCCATGAGGAGGAAAAGGAGCTGGAGGGTGGGACACCTGCAGACGCTGGCGTGTTCTCTCTCTCTCTCGCTCCCTCCTCAGCCGCTGCTCCCCTCATGGAGCAGAGTGCATGTATGAGCCAGGAAGAAGTGAGTATGTATGTGTGTCAATGGGGGCTGAGGGGAGGGGATCCGACCCCTCCCCTATTCCTCTCTTCCTTCTTCTTGGGACTGCCTCCTCGACGGGATGAAGGGGTAGGTGGGGCCACTGCAATAACGCACACACACACACACACACACACACACACACACACACACACACACACACACATCATTTTGTTATGCTCCTTCATTTTCACATTCTTTCCCGCCTCATGCTTCCTTCTCAATCCCAAAACGTCCCCCCTGCCCACCCAACTCCTTCCCTCCACTCTTGACTGTACGCTCATATGAACACGCTCCCATTAATCCCGAGAGGGAGGCATATGCCATTTTATGGCTGGTGGTGGTCCACAACCTGCTCCACTCCGGCACGTCCCATCATGATTGAGCGGGATGGTAAAAAGGCGACGGTTGTGTCGGAGAGAAAACAGATATAGGGAGATGAGGAATGGAGGAGAAGAGTGGTGCCAAGATGAACAGCAGCAAAGGCTTTTAGGTCTTCCTCTAGGGTCTCGCATAGTGCCAACATCACCCCCCTCCCGATCCCTGTCCCTGTCCCGGCATAAATCATTCCCATAACCCGCCGCTACATGTTACATTCAAAGTATTGATTTTCCTTCCCCGACCGCAGTGCTGATTGCGAGGAAAACCTTTTGCAACAGTCACAAACAGGAAGTGGCGAAAGAAAATCGCGCGGGGGTGACAAAATTGACGGACTAACAAGATGGGGTTCGGTGCCTTGCTGCAACAACGTAGTTTTGTTTTAATGGTTTAGCCACCGGACATGCATCCATCATTGTGTCGACTTTAACACCACTTGAGGACAGACTCAAACTACGTTCAAATTCACTGAGGAAAATGTGTGGTTTTCTTCGTTCCCGTCCATTTCTTACAATAGAATTCCTCTCCGTTTACATGTTCGTGCGTGTCGTTTTTTTACTGTATGTTGGTACTTGCTCCCCGAAATAGAATCACTAATAATCAAATGAATACCCTTACAAATGATATCTAGCGAGAACACTCTTAAAGGAAAGATAGGATTTCCTGTATTATGCTCTTATTCTGAGAGACAAAGTGCACCTTTCAAGTGGCTTAGCGATGAACAGAGTTTCACAAACAAATATCACGTAAAACGCTCAAATTATTTGGGTGCAACAATAAATTCCTATTGCTAACAAGGCCCTTATTCTTCATAACACTTTACATGCCTTATAATCGACAGGATGAGTCGCACCCTTTGTGTTCAGCTACCATGCACAAGTCACATGAACTGGACTGTTTGAATAACAAAATGTGCAAAAAAAAAGTCATAAATGCAGAGTAATTTGCCCCCAAGGTCTTTTCACACTGCACTTAGGGTGTTTGTGCAATGGAACAATGTCGCGTGACACAAGGTGGGCTTTTGTCATAGAGGTTAGAAATGTTCAACTGTGGAGCAGCATCCCAGTGACGTCACAAGGCCCATTCACAAAGGACCAAAGGGAAAAGTAATCAATTCTACTTCCCGGTTGACTGCAAAGCAACTACAGCCAAATATGGGCAAGCTTGCACCGGCGTAGCGCCTGCCAGCTGATGAACACCAAGAAAATGTCGTGTTAAAAGGCCCTAATAAATGAATTGTACTATTTTAAGATCTACAGCTGTTTGAATGTGATAGGTGTTATTTTTCCAAAAAATAAAGCCTATCGAATAACATTTCCTCTGTCCACCTTATACATTTCCAGAAGGCCGGACACACAAAACAAAAACAGGGTGGCTGCTGTCCTAAGATTGAAAGTGACCATCAGCAGAAGCAACCGCTGCCGTTTCCATGACAGCACAGCTGAGGACACTTTGCCCTTTGACCTTATGGACCACTGCGTGTGCTCTCAGGCGCTGACCAAATCAGGGGTCAATTAAAGCCAAGGTCGACAGGGGTCAAATGTTAATGACCCCCTACTCTCCGGTTACGCAACCAAACAGTAGCAAAGTGCCCCCGAGAAGCATCATTCATCCTAATCAGAGTGCCGCACCTTGCACAAATAAGACACCACGCTCCCTGCGCGTGATGGATGCGTGACATACGCAAGATGCATGGGGGATAAATGTACACATTTACGTTAATGAAATGTGAAGGTCATTCATAGGATATACCTGTACAGTGAGGAGCCCCTGCTTTATCGTAGTTCATTGTTGGCAGCCCAACTTATCATATGGATTTTTTAAGCGATCTTGATGGGTTTTCACAGGCAAGTCCGAAATTAATGTTGCTTGCCTTCAATGTAGTGTTACGCTAAGCTGCACCATACGACGCAGCACTGTGGTAAACTGTAAAAGATGCAGTGGTAATTACCAGCAAGAAGAGGAGGCAGAGAAGGTCCCCAATGGAACTCCAACGATGGTTCATTCGCACAGGACAGAGAGAATATGTGCCTGTGAGTAATGTTGGATGCTTTGTTTGTGTTATCACTCGAATGTGTTCAAGTCACAGTTGTTTGAAGGCTTCATCCACCTGTCTATATTTGACATTGTTAGCCTTCAGCTAGCATACTTTGATTTTGAGATTTGGTTGGAGATTTTTGCATTTAAATGTATAATGTCCAATTCTCTGCTGTTGTATGTTCGGTTTGTATAAGACGTGATGTAGCTTATTTGAGCAGCAGTGTGATGCTTGTACTTCAAATTCTGTGGACTGTTATACAGTATTTGTATTTAATTTGTGGATGGTTGTTTTAAAAATATATATATTTTAATCTTGCAAAAAAACAATGAAATTGCAAAAAAACACAACAATAACTAATTAAAACTATTATAGCCCCACTTCCGACAGATGAACGCTGTATTTTCCGTACGAGAGAGCAGCAACAGCATCTGGTGTGACGTATGAAGTACAAAGCACCTGTCAGACAGGGCGTGAAGCTTGGCAGCCTTTCTTTCCAAACAGCCACTGTGCCGACTTGGGTCGAGCTATGAAGCTGCAGCCCATGACAGCATATCAGTCCCAATCTGTACGTCGGCGAACCCGCTGCTGTCAGTCACAGCTCATGCCTACTCAAACGGACTTGCCGACATCACACGGCAGCCAGCGTTTGACCAGACAGATACTTCAATACATACGGTATTGCCAAAGGGATTCATTATTTTTAAAAAGACACTTGTAATATCAGTTAAGAGTGCAGAAAATATTCTGTACAAATTTCCTGCGAAAAGAAACAAACCTACTGTATTTAGCAAGAAACATGAACATAGGCCATTATGTACTGTACTTCAGTGGGCCATGAAAAATGATGTGGCAGACCAAATATGGACCCCCAGGCCAACAGTTTGTTAACTCACAAAAAAATAAAGAAATGGATTTTCTGGTAGCAACAAACAGGGATGGGTGGAGTCCAATCATGGCTGATGTTGAAGAAAAAGGATGACACCGTCTTAGGCGTTGAGAAACTGGGTTGGGATGGAATGGGCAAAGACAGATGAAGGGGGCGGAGGAGGCGATCAGAGGGGTGCCAGACACAAAAGAGGCCAGGCCGCGGCCGGTGGCACGCGATGGGCAGATTAAGCGGCGTTTCCTCCCCTAACTGAAGCATTAGGACACCTGACTGAGTCCCGCCAATGGCAGCAAGCCAAGGATTTTTTTATGCGTGTGTGTGTGTGTATGTTTGAGATGGGGCGGGCGGGGGAACTGGGGTTCGCCTTTCAGCACTCCTCAACAACACAAAGAGCAGTGGGGTGGGGAAATAAGGGGTGGCTTGGAGTGGAGATGGGTGGGGTGGTGGGTTCAAGCCTTACCCCTCACCATCTGCTACCCAGGCTAAGTGAGGACAGAGCCGGACGAGCAATACACACACACACACGCACCTGTTAGTGTTTCAGTGGGCGGGTGGGCGTTGTGGCATATGGGCAGGGCACCGTCCTGGCACCCACAGACAGCTCGTATTAAAAGAGAGTATTCCCCGAGCCCCTCCTCCTGCCACATTCCCAACCCTTTCCAACTGATGCCAGCCAATTCTTTATGTTTTGCCCCAGCTTGATTAAGACATCCATGATTAGAGACATTATGGCGAGCGAGGGAGGTGGGAGGGGTGGATCATTTATCCACAAGGCTTTTACTGTAAACAAACATGGACCACTTTTGCCTTAATGCCACATAGCTACTGTAGCTCGCAGTGCTAGTGCTAATATTTTCATCAACGAGATCACAGATTCTCAACTGGTGGGTCGTGAGAGGTAGTCAAGATTTGCAGGGGTTCCTGAGGTGTTTGATAAGGTGCCCTAAAAGGCACTTTGAACATGTAAGCCTAAGTGGATGTAGTTAAAATATGATACACACATTTTTAAATGGTACATTTCCTTAATTGCTCTTAATGTGGTTCATGATTTAGCTAAAACAGGAAAATGAGACATGGCAGCGAACTATCCAAATGCTCGACAAGAGCTGATGTCAATGAAAAGGTCCTCATACTGGGTTAAACCAGGGTCCGGTGACACACTTCTAACCACGCAACATCACCCAAAAAAATAAAATATTCATTTTCAGGTATTTAAAAAAAAAAAAAAATCCAGCAATGTGTTTGCATTAATACTTATAATAACCCTATATGTTCAATGTAGCAGTGTCTAAAAAGCGAGGCGTGGAATTGATCACTTTCTCCTTCAATGCACATTGTGCTATGCATTTTGGTGTGTACACCTTGCCTACCTGGGAACAGCATAAGACATGCTGTACTGAAGACTCAGCTCCTCTCTCGGTCTCTCAGTTCAGCAGTAATATTGGGTAGCCTTTAGAGCAGGGGGTGTGCAAACTTGTTCCTCAAGGGCCACTGTGCTGCCCGTTTTCCTTCTCTCTCCCTGCTGCACACACCCGATTGAAATGATGAGGATGGTTCTCATGCTTCTTCACAGCTTGCTGATGAGGTGACCCTTGGAATCAGGTGTGCTGCAGCAGGGACCGATGGGAAAACAGGCAGGACAGTGGCTCGCGAGGACCCGATTTAGAGGATAAAAACAATATGCCTATGAGCACCGGTATGATCGGTTTTACTGCTTGGAAAAACTGGTAAACAGGGTCATTTGTATCTCAAGCTGCCACTGTAATTGACATTAACCTGTTCTACTTTTGTACTCAAATATTTCTGTGACCACTTAAGATGGACTTTGGAGAGTACACTGCATTTGATTTTATAGCAAGTGAAGCGATATGTCTGTTTAAAAAAACAAAACAAAAAGAGGTCAGAGAGGCAGACAGTTCAGCCTTGCTGAGAAATAATCTGAAAACACCAGTAATCCTCCACACACACACAGTCCTTCTGGAGGGCGAGGCGACGGCGGCAGTGGTCTAGCGTGGCGAGGTGTGGCCCGGTCTCCGTTTAGCAGTCTCGCGTCTGTCCGGGCTTGACACGCAAGCCGGGCTTTACAGCTGCCAGGACTCACACTGGGAGATGAAGCGCAGTAAAGCTGCCCACGGTCACCCAATGAGAATAATTGCCACATTTTTTGGGGGGGGGGTATGGGGTGTAACCTTACAATGTAGACTTTGAGTGCAGGTCACTGAACTCATTGAAGCAGAGTGTTGGAACAAGTGGCTTAGATGAGCTGCCGCTTAATGAACGTAAAATATTGTTTACATTAATAAGCACTATTTTTCTCCCAACACATGAACACACGCGCACAAAACTGATAAGTTCACTGAAGTAGCAATTGCAGCACACCTGCTCTGAAAGAGCACACAAGTTCGCTCACGGTTTTTCTGGAACAATGAAGCTGCACTGAAGCGCTTTCCATTACAATAAAAAGTGAACACTTGAACGAGCTGCAACAGTACAGTGAACCCTCGACCTCCGCGCTAATTTGCCTGTAGAAAATTATTAAAAATGATCCGCTGAAAAACGCACCTATTCACGCCGATTTTAGGCTTGACTGCATACAGCGTGATGCAAGATTCCTGTAGAGGTCACACAGGCAGGCGAGGATCCCTATGGTGTTGACGCCAGGAAAAGCAGGGTGCTAAATGTCTCAAAATGATGCAGAGAAAGGTCCGGAAATCTACTGGAAGCTGTTCACAGTTAGCTTTTTTTTTTTTTTTTTTGCATTTATATTTATTTTTCCATTCAATTAATTGATTCAAGGTTGTTACATCTACTTACTTAAATAATTGATTAATTTAATTGTCCAATTTAAAGTAAAATAAAATATACATACAAGCACATTTTAGGAAAAAAATTACATGGCCCTTATGTCAGTTTTCAAAATCAAATCAAAAGTTTGTCCAATATTCATCAATTACTGTAGGCGATTTAAACAATGTTATTTGTACCATGACACACATTTTTTTTCTCATTGCAGAGCATGCTCCCTCACTGCAAATAGTGAGAGTTTCTCTGTGCTGTTGGGTCGAGATAAATGGAGAAAACTCGCCTTTTATAGAATCAGGTGAGCGCAAGCGTGCAGGGACGTGTTCTTCCGACAGACCAGTGCACGGCCCAGCTGCATGACCAGGAAATACTCCAAGCCTGACAGCCTGTCAGGAATAAGTTACTTAAAATATAGGAGTAGCAGTAGCAGTATGAAGTAGTTGAAAACTAGTACTGAGAAGAAAACAAATACGTTATCTGTTCTTAAAATAACATTTTTTTTCTGAAGCCTCAAGTTTTACTGCCGACATTTGAACTTTCTTCTCTTTGTCAAAACAGGATCGTAACTTTTAATACAGCAGTGCCATGAGATACTACCAATGACATAACTAAACTAAAAAGGCCACGTTTTTGTCAGACTGCATCAAGTGATGCGCCTTGTGGTGTGCCCGCCACAAGGTGGCAGTATAAGAAAGACAGACAAACTGTTCAGTGAGGCGTCATTATGAATCCCATTTGGTTTTAGACAGGATGAGCCTAGAGGCAATGATTGGCTGCCGCATCCAAACAGAACTGCATGCAGCAGCCAATCATACTGCAGCGGAAGGTGTCCTGCCTAAAAACGAGTGGGATTCACAACGCCTCTAGTCCTCACAGCTCATCAGTGCGGCACTCACCAAAAAAAAAAAGCAAAAAAACAAACCAAAAAAAAACACATTGCAACAAATATGCAAACAAGCGTTGACATTAACCTAGCAGACTGAAAGGCTAGGGTATGGCTCTTTTAAAAAATGATGTCACACTCTTTGTTTTAGGTTTACTTTGACAGTAAACTTCAACTGGGAGTGGTCGCAAACAGCTTGAGGCCTATTTTTTTTTTTTGAATAACTTGTTAAATTGCTCAAACAAAATTGCTGTTGGATATCAATGGCAGTGACATTATTTGTTACTTTTGTACTTGAGTGCATTTCTGAGCATGTACTTTTACTTCACTCAGTCGTGAAGAATGTGAGTACAGTACTTTCGCTACCTGCTTTCAACAAACAACTTGAAAGTTTTTCTTTTTTTTTTGTTACCTGAACTTTGGCTGACGTATTCAAGAAACTGTTCCTCGGTAGGTCGTGACTCCGTCGAATTCGGCCACGGCGAAGCGAGCCGCCGCCACCACTCGGCGGTCGCTTACCGGCAGGTGGTGGGGCTCACCGGGCATCTTGGCTCGACGGCCAGTCGTAACGATTCCGAAGACACCCAAATACGAGTAATAAACACACCTTCACGAACATGTCGAACCGAACTTACGTTCAGCCGGCATGTTCCCTTAACATGGGCCAGAAAAGCGAGTTTGGAAGACTTGTAGGCGAGTTAAACACACCTGCGTACTATTAGCTGGTTTGACTGGACCGGAAATGTCGTAGTTGCCAGGCAACCGCGGTTGTTGCCGTCAAGGTGGTCGTGGATGGAGTAAAAGTCAAGGTTTGAGTTGGGCCGTTCTCATTTTTTACACGAGTACCACCTCAAAAAATGCTTTTCCCTATTATATATTCGTTCGAGATGAAAAATGTATTTTAATGAATAAATTTGCAATATTTGAGAACAGTGTTCAGTTTTTGATATGAACGAGGTAGCCTTTTTTTCCAAGTGGTTCTCAGAGCTCTTTAGACTACCTTAAAATACTTGACCTTCCAGGCACCATCATGACAAACATTGAAATATTTCGATTTTTTTGTTCACCAGTTGTACTTAAATGATTCAATTAAAATGCGTCACACGTGAAAGTTAAAAGATATAAAGATATGAAACATTTAAAACAAATACTTCAAAATGATGGCATGTAAATTTTACTCAAAAGTGAAAGACGACTGAATTGTACTAAAACGCAGCGTACTTTAATAGATTAAGAAAAAAAATGAAACACTGTAAAGTCATGCATAGTTTCACATTCTACTAGAAGGAGCCTGTGTACCACTAGTCATACTCATCAAGACGTACAGCAAAACGTTATGGTTGTATCTGTGGAATATCGGTTATCATGTCACATTTTTGCAGTTTGTCGTTAGAATTTTGGCTTTGACTTCCCGGAGCTGAGAGGTGGCCAAAGTACTTCTCTATATTTACCTTTTTTTTTTTTTTTTTTTACATTGTGTCATCATGTCACATTTTTGCAGTTTGTCGTTAGAATTTTGGCTTTGACTTCCCGGAGCTGAGAGGTGGCCAAAGTACTTCTCTATATTTACCTTTTTTTTTTTTTTTTTTACATTGTGTCATCACTCACAAAAGTTGAAAAATTGTAATTAGCCTATATTGACAACTTCAAAAGTAGAAAATCTAAATGTTTTGAAATGTAAAGGCTTTAAACCAGAATTGTTCACTCGTAATTTTCATTAGTGTACATAAACAAAAACCTGCAACTGTAATGTTTGAGATTATATGACACGCTTCCACATAATTCACTCTTGATCTTGATGTTTGTTTCTAAAAACATTCAATCCCACAATCTGTATTTTAAATGTACTTTAAAACCTGTTTTTACATTTAAATACATTTTCAGCACGAGAGGACAAAAACAGGAGTTTTTTTTTAATTCAAAAGCAAACTATCAACCACACTAAACGTTTACAAAGGCTTTCCCCTTTGTTTTTTTTCTTCAGATTTTAGTGTTACAAGCAATTACCACAGAGACTGATGTGAATGTTCCAAGGGTCCGAGTCACTTCTTTTTGGGGAACAAAAGTTCGAGCTGCCTGTTTCTGCATGCTTACAAAAAAAAGTGAATGGGGGGAAAAAAAAAATCAAAAGTGCTAAATCTACATAATGAAAAGACAAATAATCCTTACTTTCACAGCTCATTAGAAGTAGACCACATCAAATGAATATAATACCTAAAAACAATTCCTTGGAATGTATCACCGGTTCCTTTTTTTTTTTTATATCATGAACACAATCGTCTACCGTTTGTAATGTGGCCTGGTTTAAACATGAGGCGTTGGCACATAATGAAACAAAACATGACAGAACATAAATTAGTACTTGGGGCGCTGACAACAACTGACAAATACCAAGTACTGTATATTATATACAATACAGAAAAGCTTATTTCACTATTAAACAGTTTCCATTAAACATCCATTATAGTAAACTTCCTACATGAGGTACCAAATAACAGATAATCCAGAACTATTAATTAATCCAATTGCGGAAAAAAAAAGTGTGCACCGTGCCACCTTTGTTTTCCATACAACACACGGTAATGACAATTTTGATACAAAACAATGTGAGCACATTAAAGCTGATTAGTGTGGATAAGGGGAAAATATTACTCCTCATGAAAATTCGCTTGTTTTGCAGTTACAAAACAATATGCTGTGTAATAGTGAGAGTAATCATAAGCAGCAGGAGTGAGATGTTGGCAAGACATAATTCGCCTAACAGCATAATTGCCCAAGTCATTTTGAACGTACTGTCACAATATCAATAAAAAAATAAATGTGTTTACTAAAATTACTTTTATTCATGTCTGTGTCGATTCTAAGTCGTCCAGGTAATCCGCAAAGGTTGACTTGAGGTGACTGGACCTCTTAGCTCAGTTTTTGTCGTTTTACGAAAATGTTCAAAAACGACGCAGGCAATTAGACTTTGAAGTTAACAATACAGTATATTGGTTGCAGCACACCTCGTGTCCGGAAAGAGTTCATTAGACAAGATGTGGCCTACTCTTCCTCCTACAAAAAGTGATTCTCCGAGTCGAAGAGTGCCGTAATCCCGGTCGTCTCATCGGTGCTCAGCACATCCTTGTCTGGCTTCACCTTCTTATAGAGAGAAGGAAGATTCCGGATGTGGACTTCTTTCCTGAACTGCTGGCACAGAGCTTTCTGTTGGCAGGGGGAAGAGAGAAGCCTATTAACGTGTATTTTTTTCCCCCTCTCTCAGGAAAATGAAAGCACTCTGGAGAGCAGAGTTCCTCAAGCTAAGGGTTGGGACCAAAAATGTGTTTCCAGTTAACTCATTCATTGCTGTGGATGTTTCAATTTGTCAACTAGAAGCCAAATGCTTACTCCCACTGATGCGCATATTATATATACTTGTCAAGTAGTTTAGTATGTTGTTTTCCCAGAGGTAGGCATTGAAGAAGGTGAAATTCAAAGTTCGGTCTAATTGTAATGACAAACAGACCCGCTGTAGGTAACGGCGTCGCATCGCTTTGGAGTTGAAACGTTCGACTCGAGCCGTGCAGTAAGTTCGCGTCGCTCGCATCATGCTTCTTAGCTGTACATCTGTAACTAAAAGATTATTTTGCTTTCAAACGTTCTTTCTCAGTCTTGTTTTTATTGTTCGATAGTTTGAGGTGTCACATGCGCAAAAAAATATTTGACTCAAATTGACTGTTTTTGATGTTTCTTCGCAAAAAGCTCATTTTCTCCACTTTTTGGTGAAACCAATCCTTGTTCTACTGCCGATGGCTAAAGAATGGAAAAAGTTAGAACCAACCTTTTTTTTATGCTGACAAAAAAAATGTTTATGCTTTATTGTATTTTGTTAAGATTCTTATATCGCCATATACCACAATATTCTGCGGTTCTTGAAAGACCCGTGAAAATGCTCTCACACAGCTGCCAATATGGGAAACTCGGCTTTGAAAACGGCTTGCAGTGAATGAGTTAATGGAAGCGTTCTGGCTCCCGTGTTGGAGGCAGTGTGGTACCACTGAGGCAATACCGCCACCTAAAGGACCAGATGTGACATTACCCCAACGGTCCCAGCGATGAGTTTCCTGAACTTGTCTTTCCTCTTCTTCTCGCCAGTCTTCGCGTTGGACTCCAGCAGCCTGTGGTCGTACGTGTCCAGAGACTCCACATTGATGTTGGGTATCTGGTTCATCACCACCCTCAGTTCCGTGTAGCGGGGGCGCTGAGTAAGAACACGAACGAGTTATACGCACATCTTTTGTTGTGCTGTACAAAAGCCGGCCGGTACTGTATACACTTTAAAAAAACATTTAAGGAAGGACATAACGAAGGAACGGATGAAGGATACGAGGAATGACAAAGGAAAGAAAAAAAGGAAAGAATGTATTTAAGGAAGGAAGTAATGCTAAAAAGGAAGCAATGACAAAGGAAGCAAAGGTGGGTAATTGGTTGAAGGAACGTAGGAAGGGTGCTGAGGATGATGATGCAGGGAAGGAAAAGAACAAGGATGTATGAAAGGAAGGAAGTAAAGTACACCCTCGCCACTGTGGTCCACCGAGTTGAGTTGGCCTCACCAGGTTGTCGTAGATTTGCATGGCCAGCTGAGAGAGGCTGGCGTTGCAGACCTCGTGCTGCCCGTGCATCTGGAGGCCCTTGAGGACGCTGACGAAGAACCAAGAGACCGCCTCCGGAAGAAGGTTACAGCCCATCACCTGCGCAAGAAAGAAGGCACACGGAAGCTTGAAACCGCTTCCCAGCATCATCCGCTCCACGGAAAGCATCATATCATTCAAAGTGCATGTAGCAACAATTCAAAAGGTTGCCCGACCTGCCGCAGAAGGGTCCAACAGATGAAGGACGCCGTGCGGTTACAGTACGTGGCGTCCTTCCACGAGAGCGAGGTGAAAGCAAAGGACAACAGGGTCATGTAGATGCTCTGTGGAGAGGAGGAGCGGGAAAAAGTTGAAATGTTCAGCCTGTATAAAGAAGTGACCGAGCAGTGTTCAGGCGTGACACTTCAAGGGTCTGACAGTTCTGACCTCATCCTTCATTAGGCTTTTCCCCAGTTCGGTGAGCTCATCTGTGGCTGGGGCAGCGGATGATGCCTGCGTTGCATCCATCATCACGTCCTCCTCTACAAAAGGCACATTTCAAATAAGCACCATATTCACTTGTCTATATGTGCATTAATAAAAATATTAAATCAATTGATTGATTGAATATATTTATATAATAAATGTACTATATTTCTCTTATGTATTTTTCGGACACTTTACATATAATTAAGACCCAATAGATCTGAATTTTTGAGGTCATTCCGAGATGTGGTAGAGTAAAACAAAAAAAAATTCATCAGCTATTAATTTTTTAAAAATGCACATTGACTACAATAATCTTTTTTTCTATCTTTCTTTGGTCCCTTAACACTTACAACAACAAAGATATGAATTCCTAGCAAAACATTTGACTAATTTAGAAAACTTTAGTATATGATTAACTTTACAACAGATTTTTTTTAAATGTCATTATCGTTGTCTTACCTTGTGGTGTGTTATTGTGAAAAAGAAATACTTTGGAAGAGAGCTAACATCAGCCAACCAATTCATCGATCCGGACCCCATTTATAAAAGCATATCAATTATTCTTCTCTTCACTTTTTTGTCAGCATGCAGAACCGCCAAATATGACTCTCACCTTCTATTTCTTCCTTATTGGCAGCAGGCTCGGGCACTTTTCGGGAAATGCAGGTTGCGGCTTAAAAATGACAAGCATTGCAAATTAGTCACAAACAAACCAACACCATACAACAAGAAATCTGGAAAAAAAAAAACTCACAATTCACACTCAAAACAGACATCAGACAAAAACAGACCACAACACACAAAAAATACAAAACAACATAACACACTAAATACAAAAACACACTCTGAAACAATGCAAAAACATACCACAAAAAAACCCAAATCCCCCCACAAAAACAAAAAAACATTTTACTTTAAAAAACATTGAGTATTTTTTAAAATGTATTAGCTTTTTCATTTCATTTTGATTAGTGTTTATTATTATTATTATTACATTTAAAAATCGATCAATACATTTCTTCCCGAAGTCGATCATGCCCATCGCTGTTTTTTTTGGGGGGGGGGGGGTTAGAATGTAAAAACAAAAAAGTGGAGGTTTGGAGGGCAGAGGGGTAGAGTTACTTACTGATGAAATCCAGCATGTCCCTGGTGAGAAGGCGCACCAGCTGCTCTTCCAACATCTCCTGTGTCACCTGACTCTCCTGACACACTACCTCCTCCTCTTCCTCCTCACCACTGACAAAAAAAAACCCAAAAAAAAAACAACAACTTTGTATTCATTTATTTCACAGAATACATATTCCGACATCCAGCACACAGACAGTGACACACTGTTGACATAAAATAACATTCAGTGCAGGCTTACTTGGCAGAAGCCCTCTGGATAATGACTTGCCACTTCATGTTTAAACGCTGCAGAAAGAATAAAAGAAAATGTCACGAAAGGGAGCAACTGCCTTGTCAGAAGCTTCACGATGTACTTTATAGTCGAGGACCAAACCTGCAGAATGTAGCTGAAGAGAGGGCCGAGCAGGGGGCAGAGGACACTGTCGTTGTATTCCGCGGGACACGACAGCACCATCTGCTTTAGAAACAAGCGTAACAGCGGTTAAGGAAATGTTTGGAACCTTATCAGAAATGTCGTCCTCTCAAAAATACATTCAAATACACATTCGGCACGCCTGTATATTACACTGTGACAAAAATCTGCTCTGAGAGCATAGAAGTTACACACTTCCAACATTTTTTCCGCCGGTGAACTCAAAAGCTATGTACCATGGGTTTATATGATAGTGTACATGTTAGATGTATGGTGTTAAAACTTTGTTTCAAGCGCTTTGCTGCCATCTTGTGGCATCATATGGAATTAGCAACCAATTTTGGGAGGCATGTCGATTATATGTAGATTTTTGCTACTTGCAGCGGGTGGCCCAGTGGTTAGCGCGTCGACCTCTGAAAATGGATGGATGGATGGATGGATATTGTTAAATCGCCTTCCCTCTTATAGTGTCAATTAATTTAAAGTTATCTTTAAGAATTTTTTTTTTTTTTTTTAATCTTACTAGGCAGCATGAGTGGTTAGCATGTCTGCCTCACAGTAGGTTCGATTGGTCGGTTCATTCAAGACTCTAAATATATATTATTAATAATATTTTTTAAATATTTTTTGGGGTGTCGAAATGTGCGGGCGCAACTCGGCCAGATGAACCAATAAACAAACCAAAAGAGGATATGAATGACAGGGCGAAGTCTGTAATCTGGTACGTGGTCGAGGGAGAAGAAAGTCGAGGCGGAGAGTTCTTCGGCCAGCCTGTCAATGTTGTAAAACTCCTGCTGCAGCGAAAGTCCTCCGTTTCCCAGGAGTTGGAAACTGCAGAACAGAAAAACAAAAACAGTCACATGAGGATACAAATCGAGGAGGTGACACTCAGAGAGGGGAAGGCTCAAGTTACCAGTTGTCGTACAGCTGGGCGAAAAAGAACTGCATGCGTTCCGTGTTTGTTTTAAAGGAAGGCGCGTCATACGAATCCTGAATAGAATGAGTCAGACCTGGAGAACATGATATATTAATGCTGATTTATGTCATCTCACTTGAACCAAGCAGTGTCAATTAAGCATAAAATGATACCGATGTCCTGAGTTGCTTCATGGGAAAATTAGTCGAAAAACCTCACCGAGAACCACGTTCCTCTCTCCGTTCGTCAGCTCGTGCGCTCTGGTAAACGTCTCACTCAAGCGAGCTCTGTTCTCCGGCGTAAATAAACTGTTTTGGGTTCTGTGGGGAGATGGAAGAAAAAAGGTGACTATCCTTAAATCAGATGCTTGGTGAATCCTCGGCCACGTACTTGATGAGAGCCAGGAGGTTGGGCAGGAAGGCTAAAAACTGGGCGGCGCAGGGGTTTCTGTAAATAGGTGAGCCCAACAGCGTGTGGCCCACAAAGAAGCCTCCGGCCTTGGCGGCTTCCGGGTCCGCAGGCCAGCGCGCCCGCTTCACCGCGGCCAGCATGGCGTTCAAACAGAAGCCCAGCTGGGAGGAGGTTGGAGAGAGAAGCATTAGCAATGCAGCTGTTGGTTGACTCGAAATAAGGTGTGCTTACCCTCCCCCTATTGGTGCCGGCAGCCTCCGCCTCTTGGTGCTGCTCGTTGACTACTTGATCAGCTCCAATGAAGGATAGGAACACGGCCGGATTGGAAAGCACTCTGCGATGCAAAGCAGGGCCAACAGTCAATGAACAAAAAGCCACAACAGAGATTTTCCTAAAAAAACAAACAAAAAAACGGGAGACACACAAAACTCACTGCTTCATGGCGTCCGAGGTCCAGTCGGCCATCACGGAGGCCAGCAGCTCATCTATGAAAGCCTTCTGCTTCTCAAAATCCTTGAACTCATTACTGATGAGCACCAGAGACTCCATCAGGGCGCACTTCTGCAGAAACGTAAGTGTGGCGTCGCTGGAGAACATCTCCTTCACGTGGTTGTAAAACATGTCGAAGCAAGGCTGCGACAAGGGAAGGGGGAAAATAAATGTATTGTCGTGCAGTAATTCTCACTTCATGACCGACATGAACATGTATTTAACTTCACATTAATTGGAGCAGAATTGTATTTGGGAAGAGATTCTTTCATGCACCATAAGTGGGAGCCCACATAACATCATTTGAAAACTGTGGCTGTCGTGAATCTGGAAATAAATTCACAGTGCCTCACTTTTTTCCAAATTTTGTCACGTTAAAGCCTCAACATACTCCTTATGTGTGATTTTTGAGAAATTTGCAAAATCTCAAAAATGATGGCGTGTATAATTTTGAGGGGATTTTTTTTTTTAATTTAATACATTTTAGACTAAGGATGTAACATGACTAAATGTAGGTAAAGTGAAGGGTTGGGAAAACTGTGAACATAAGAGGTGCATCCCAACGAATTACAATATAGGAAAGTTCAGTTATTTTTTAATTGAATCAAACTACACCCCCCCCCCCACACACACACACAATATTCCAATTTATTAAGATGCACCTCTCTACATATTGCAATGTCTGTGTTGCTTCAACTGCAAATTCATTCAATTACCAAGACCAACTGTGGATAATCCCGGCAAATCTTGATAATGGCGGAGCAGGCGTGCCTCCTCACATTGTTTACGGCTCGGCTGCGTGGTGTCTGTGTTGAAGTAGAGAGTCTTTAGTATTTAATTGGCATGTTGTGGGGAAAAAAAGTAGTGATTATTCTCGCGTGTACAAGACCTACCTTAACATCCGGAACAGATCCAAACGTAACAGTTTCAAACAGCTGCAAAGCCAAATCAGAGAAGGGAAAGTGAACAGCTTGCAAAAATTATCAGAATACTCTCACAATGAATACTGAAAGTTTACCATTGTAAGCGAGAGTGGAGGCATTCCTTGCTCAAACGTGCAGTTGCAAAGTTGATTCTGATTTCATAGATTATTCTCACGCATCCCCACAGGGGGGGTGCGTCCAGTGCGCCCATTTGGTGCTTCCCGTGCTGCACGGTAGTATGAAATTAGTCAAATAGTTAAATCTGCAGATTGTGACTGCCAGCTTGGTGGAAGTGGAGGACATATGTCAAGGTCCTCATTGTTAATGACTCTGCAGACTTTTGATGGACGCTCAACTGGCAATTGGTTTATAAACTATGAATGAGAAGAGAAACAGCTTGGCCGTCTTTTGAAGCACTGCGGCAAGGTCGGGGCAGAAAATGTGATTGAGCTCTCCTGGTATACTTTAATTACAAAAGAATATATATTTATTCATATGGATTATATCTATTGTTTAATGTTTTTGAACATGCCATATGCTCTTACACTTGCATTTTTATACTCTTATGTGCCGTTTTGGGATGGCCGGAGCCCCCCTGGCCCATTGGCCCCACCCTCTCCACACCCGCGCCTGACCTTGCAAAGGACCTGAGGCAGGAACTGGAGTCTGTGTTTGACGAAGGGGAAGAGCGTGGACACGTTGGTGAGCACGCAGGACACGATGAGAGGATCTTTGGTGTCGTAGCTCAGCACGGCCTGCAGCAGCTCCATGCTCCCGTCTACCGGTAATTTCTGGACGGTCACATTCAGAAATATTGAGCTTCTATTGAGCCATCTGCTGCCCTTTGGGGTGTACAAGCTGTGTTCCGTTACCTCTTCCTCGAGGCTCTTGAGGACCTGAGGCACCACACACTCCATGAACACGGTCACGGCATCCCACTCCAGCACTGGCGCAGAGAAGCGTGGGCACAGCCCCTTGTCCCGAGCTGGAGAAAGTGGGAGAGAAATCAGCATCACACCATATACTTACGGCGTGGTAACGGCATTCCTCTGACCGGTCAGCGCAAGTACGTACGTGTGGCATTGCCGAGCTGGTATTGCAGCCACATTGCAGCCATCTGAAAAGCGTCCAAGGGAACGAGGCGACTTGCACACCTCACGCCCTCTCCCAGGTGCGACCGGAACGCTATGGGGGAGAGCGACATATCCAAAATATTCCGCGACATTACCCGGGGGGGATCCAATTCTTGGCATTTCAACAGAAGAAACGCTTACAATTAAAGTAAGCGTTGAAGTCCTCGTCACTGTCAAAGTCCACACGCGAGTACTGACAACTTGGGTGATCATTCCTGGTGGGGAAACCCGTCTGGGTGGAAAAAAACAAAAACGGGAATGAACATCGGGGTTTGGCTCTGAAGCATTTGAGCAATGACACCACACTGACCTTGACGAGGTTGTTTATGGCCGTTCGGAGGAACTTGATGGTCATTTCGACAACAACGGGCTCCTGGGAGAGGGTCTCGTGTTTGAAGATGGACGCCCATGTGGGCAGAGTGGACGACCTCAGAAACTGCGGTGCCAAAGACACATTCAATTCAATCGAAACCTTCTATAAAAGTACCATACTAACCACCAATTTCAGTAAAACAGTGAAGTGTAGGACAGATTCAGATTTTTGTGGTACTGAATAGGTGATACAAGTTTTTTTGTGTCTTGAATTAAGGCAGCGTTGGTCCCGTTTTAATCACTCGCACAGTGGGGTAAGCCTGGTATTTTCTATGCAAGGTCAAATGTAGCAGTTTGCAATTCATTTCCTCTCACCAGGCTGGAATGTGTCGTGAAAGCCAACAAGGCTTCCAAGTACTTGCTGAGGTTTGCAGGAACATCCACTTTGACATCGGAACCCTGAGAAGATAAGACATATTATTTCTTGGAATCAGTACGTGGGGACCATGTGGAGATTTAAAGGCCCCGTTTCCACCAAGCACTGAAGTCGGGTTTGTTTGGTAGCGAATGCAATATCTTTTCTACCACCAGGAGTCCAAAAAGTATCGGAGCTCTGTAAAGTCAAGTGGTCATGAAGACTGAGCTGTATGAACCCCGCCGATCAAAAAGTACAAATGGAAAATGGACAGAAAAATGAAACAAGTAATCGTGATCGATATCACTGAGCCTGCAAATTTTTAGTTCGCGTGGCAAGGTTTTTTTTCTGTGTTGCTGCTCTTTAGATATGCCACAGGCATAAAATGTGAAGTCCGAAGTAGACCGCGGCATTCGCGAGCTTAATGCTGGGGAAAAGAGAGAAAAAGCATCATCGAGATTTCCTGCTATGTGGCCAACCAAAGTGGTCCGATAACGTACCACTTTGGTTACTTACAATTCTAGGCTGTCGTGTGGTGAACGTAACTCAAGTGCTTGTTGCAACAAAGCATGCATTTCACACATGAAAAGGACTTGCATACACACCACCAATGAGATGAGCTGATTTCCCAGCGCACACAGCACCTGACACAACCTCTTGAGGAACACGTAGCGCCGCTCAACCACCTCAACTGGTCTACAATAAATGAACACAGTCACCATCTATGTCAGGGAAGGGCAACTTAAATGCTGGGGGGGGGGGGGCACAATTTTCCATCAGTGCTACTAGGGGGACCACAGACTTCCTCATCAGATGTATGAGAAAAATGCTATTTGAAATATGGACAAAATATGTGCTCCACCCCTCTTAATGTATTTGATTCTTGAGAATATATTTTTTAAATGCGTGTATAAAAAATCTAAAAAGAAATATCCTAACCGAACAACAAAAAGTTTGAAGCAAACAACAAAATATACCACATACTGTTGATTTTTTTTCCATGTTTGCCATCTAGTGGTAATTGGTGATACTACAACTTACAGCTAGAGTCAAACCCTGCATATTAATGTAATTGGGCATATATCTTAGTCAGGCCAGCATCCGTGAACTATGGAACACACAATCACATGGTGGCCGTGGGCCAATGTGAATGTAACCAAATTTTTTAACGACTACTTACTGTGTTTCAGAGGAGGCAGGACCGTCTGCTGACCTGGAAGCAAACACTCCAGATTGAAACGACAGCAAATAATAAAGAGGGAGCACAACAAGAATCACAAGTATACTCACTGGGCTGCAGAAAGAATATAATTAATGGCGACGTCATCGAACAGCAGCATGAATTGCTTCCTATCCTCCAGCTTTCCCTGTGCAACAACAACAACAAAAACACAGTGAGGAGCTGATATCAAAAATTTGATAATAATGATACCCAACAAGTCCCCGCCTTGTGGAACCTTGCGACTGATGGCGATAAGGAGACACTCGGCCGCCTCCAACTGTAGCTCCGGCTCGCTCAGCAGCAGACACAAGCTCTCCAGCAGACGGCAGTTGCCAGACGTGATGTACACCAGAAACACCCAGTCGATGTAGCCGGCCAGCGTGCTCAGGGTCGCCACTGCGACTCTGCAGTGAGCCCTGGCCTGAATCGTTCACATTTGTCAAACATCATTATTCATTGAAAAGTCATTCTACACTGCCTGTAAAGTCAGCATTTTTCCTTGTTGCTGTTCTCCATAATAAATAAACAAACACTGACGTGGAATTTCCTATTGCGGTATTGACACTTTTTTTTCGAGGAGCAAGCTATCGCTTTGAGTTGCGAGCACTAAAGAGTAGCTGCGAACGTCAGAACATGCAGCAGATTTTAAAGAATTTTTCATTGGTATCCCCAATTCAAGTTTGAAAATGATTTTTTTTTCACATTTTGCATTTCATTCAAACAACTAAATTGTTGAAAGTCTGCTAGCTTCATGCTAACACAAAGTGGAAATTGCCATACAAAACAAAACTAGCATTGAGGCTTCATAATTAAAACTCTTTAAGCAGCAGACATTTAAATACAAATGCCGCAGTAAAACATGCACGGAAAAACACTATAACATTACTCACAGGAATACGCTCCTTATCCTCTTTGAGAATCGACTAATATTACTGCAGCTTGCTGAGTTAGTTGTGAAACTCTTCTTTAATATGAATGTCTGAATTATACTGGCCCCTGGTGAGCGAGGCAAGCATGTCAGGAGCAGCATATCAGTGGGCAATTTTAGCATGGGATCATGACGCACAAACCCAACTCTCACGTTTTAATTCTTAAACCTCTGCCGGTATTTATGTTGTGATTGTGTGATTTCATCAAACACAATAGTACAGGGTAATATCTTTCTTTCTAAAAACAAACAAAGGTCACTTACCTTCATTTCATTCTGTGGCGACCCTTTCTAAATAAAACAGAAGAGATCAATATTTTAGTCACGTTAAAGCAGCTTTTCCAAGGTGAAAGATCTCATCTCTTTGACATCTTATTTTACCACTTTTCGGTACTCTTCGATATTTTGGTGCAGAATGGTCATGAGGAAGCTGAAGATGCTCTCCATGTTCTGCGAGAGCGTCTGCTGGATGTCTCGGCGCCGCTGTTGAGGCAGCGTCTGGAAGGTGATCACATCCTCCGCCAGCCTCAGCAGAATTAGCATCACAAGCTCCGTTTGGGCCTCCTATGTGAATGGTGTCAGCTCCGTGAATCAAAGTACGAACTTATTTTGACTTACTTTTTAAACTTGAACGACAGTTACAGGATTCCTACAGCTTGAGGGAAACCGAGTTCAAGATTTGTTCATTCCATTTGAAATTAAAGACTAACTTCACGACGTTCCTAACGTCCCATGTGGGCCAACATTTCTACAGAACAATTAATGACATGCATTGCCAAGCGCAAAGTGTCCCAACTACAACTACATTACTGATTTGTCAACTTGTGGCATCAATCTGCCATGCGATAGGGGGTTCACTGAACTGTACATACCCCTGCGCTTGCAACAGTTTCCATCTCCTCCAGCATATTCGGCCAATTCTGCGGCCATTCCCTCTTGATCATTTCCACCACCACTCGTGAGAGCACATCTTTGACGTAGCTTTCCTCCTCTAGGATCGGATGCGTACCCTGTGCGCAAACAGGAGTCAGATCAACACCAAGCAGTTACATTTATAAAAGTGCAGCAAAGCATCATACTCACTTTTAACAAAAGCTGCATGGTACAGTCTTTGACCTGGATTTTCTCTTGTTGTTGCATATCGTTCCATCGGAACCTGCGAGGGAAGAAAAAGATGTTTATTCCGAATATTCATTCTCATTAAAAATCTTTCAGGCCCTTGAGCTTATTATAACACTCACTTGATGACGTGTTCAAAAATTTGCAAGCCAAAGTGCCTGATTACAGCTGGCTGCGTTTTGTCTGCTAGATGTAAGGCACACGGGACACATAGGAGGCTTTTCTCTTTAAACTCCTCGAAAAACTGTCAAAAAGACAACATGACATGTCATTGAAAGAGATGTTAAAGTAACCACATAAGTACATAGCTGCAGTTGAATAGCAGAAACTCAGAATAGCAACTAAAATGCGGAGGTTTATTTTGATGAACATAAAATTCCATTCCATTTTAATCAATTACAACGGTCTTTCATCAGCCTCCACGTGACGCTAGCGTTTGAATGAACCTTAAGTAGACGATGTTAGCATGATAGGCTAACTTTCAAAACATCTGGACAACAACTACCCGTACGTATAGTCCAAGAACCACTTTAGAAACATTAATGAGGCAACCCTAATGTTGACAAAGCGTTTTGCTTCCTAACAACACTAGAGCGTTTCAGAACTCATTCATGCTCAATTAATTGACACGTTTAGCCGCCGGCTAGCATAGAGCTAGCAACCAAAAAAACGATGCTACCTTTAGGGCCTCCAGTCGGTATATTTGACTCGATTCGGCATTCATGGTCACGTTCACAGCCTTGATAAGCTGCTCACACATAGCGACGACATGCTCATCCATGGTCCACACAAGTACCGGGCTTATGTTTACAACGAGACACGCCGTAAACCGCCTGCTACAATGTTGGACGTGAAGTACACTGTAAACGTCAACGTGCGGAAAATGTGACACAAAGCAGTTTTGGAACTTTTCGCTAGCCGTAGAACAGAGATTTCTGGGAAATGTAGTTTTTAAAAAATATGGGGAAACTATATTTGAAAAATACATACATTGTAGTTGATTTATAAGATTTTTGGGTCACAAACTGTACTGTTATTATAAAATACAAGAAATAACCGTTTGTAAATTGGTGATTACAGTATTTGCCGAAGTTGGCATTAGTATTTAGACGTTTTTCCTGCTACCACAAAGTAGCAACCTTTTTATGTGTAAACGTTAGTATTTCTGATATATTTTTCTTTTTTGAGTGCGAATATTTTTTTTCATAGAAAAAAAAAACGTTTAAGGTGCGTTTTTTAACTTTTGACTTGCCGTAGGGTGGCAACTCCATTGGTGCACATTGAACAAAACGCAGCAATTTCCTTCTTTTTTATTTAATTCCTTCTTTTTATATTTAATTGTGCATAATACATTTAAAATAACGAAGAGACAGTATGTCTTGACTGTACACCGGTGGGTGGAGTCGTTTGGGGGGCCGGGCTTGGATTCTTCCTCCTCCTCCTGGTCCCATTTCCCCTCCTTCGTCACACGTCATATCATTCTGGGCTCGGCTGCGAGCAAACGGGCTCTACGATTCATCAAAGCGGACTTTGTGGCTCTTTACCTTCGTCTTTTCACGTGTAAGTCTTACCTCAAACGCGCTCAATACCACCGAATGTGCTTTGATAAACAATCCGTGTGTAGCAAAGGTAATAAAGCATTTTTCTCCCAAAGGCGTTCATTGAGCTCGTAGCGAATGTGTGCAAAGTTAAGTCGAAACTTTCCTCGCGGAGGCCATGTTATTGGTAGCAACAGGTCGGCAGTGGACGTGAGGTTTTTGATAACACGAAATAATATATGCATTTTTTTTCTTTAATGGTGGCAGGACGGCGGAGGTTACGGAGAGGGGAAAGCCGCCTTGCCCAAAGCGGCTTCACGGTCTGTGCAGGGATTAAAGTCGCTCCGTTTTCGTCGAAACTGCCAGTGGTGCGCATTCATGCTGGAGCTAAATGCGGTACGAAGCTAAAATGATGCCGGTGAGTTCATTAATTTTCTACCTACAATTTATTTATTTTTCGCGTTTATAATCCCATTTTTGATTGTCAACTTGCACAAAAGTTTGCCTCAATTTGATGTGACGAATGTGCAGACTCCGGCTGTTGTGTCTTTCATGTACGTTGTTTGATGTTTCAACTGTAAAAGTGACATGACGTGCTGTCTTTACCTTCTGACGTATGTTACTGTTGACATTCATCTTGGGACGTTTGACTAACGGGTGGGAAGAGCACAATACTCAGTTATGTCATGTTTTTCTACAATATAATCCAATGGCGATGCAAGACACTAGTATCTCAAACCATCTATTCCCCATCGACATGAATGGACATTGCATTGTGTCCACATTCCCCGCCCCAAAACATTTCCAAATTTTGTGTTTGTCTTGGAAAAAGAAATCCATTATTGTACTTTAAAAAATAGAGTACACTGTAATAGCGTAATTAAATGGAATGTAAATAATGAAGGAATGTGCATTTTCATTAAATGCTGCAATTGATTTTATTATCCTGTTCCCTCCTTGGCTCACACCTTGGCTTATGATTCTTATAGGGTTGGTTGACCGGGTTCAAGCGAATTCTTAAAAAGTTTTAAAATGCATTTTTAATTAATTCATTGAATAACAGGACTTTTAATTGGCATTCGAATGCCCTAATCCTGAAAAAGTCATACACTAATTAAACACAAGCCTTATGATTGTAAATAGTTTCAAATCTCCAAATAAATGGTATGCCTGTTGTGGTAATAGCACATATTCAGAATAGTGTAACCAACGAAACTGATATGGTTTTCGTTAGGACTCTTAAAGGTGGTATTTTATTGAGTGGCAAATGCTTGAGAAGGCAGCAAATGTTGGATCCTTCCAAGTTTTCTGATGTGTGATGGAAAAAATTGTGGGATTACCCCCGTCTTTTTCCTGCATTGCTGTCTTTATTTTGACACCTTTGGACGTATTTGTATTTTTATGTTCTTTCTTTCAACTCAGAAGGTGCCTCTGAAATGCTCTCCACCTTCTCAGACATGCCATGTTAGCGCAGTTGCAGCTAACATTGGCCACTTGCTGATAGTGTGATGCAAGACTCAAGTTGAGCGCCGACAGGCAAGACAGACAGGGTCGGTGTAAACTTCTAAAAATGATTCAGAGGAAGGTCCAGATTTGGGTGCGGTTATGAGATTTATGATCCGTTGACGGTGTTTGTATTTGAGTTTATTTTCGTTCCAGTGTGAGGGGTGAGTGGCATTGCTATTTTATGTGTAATGTCCATTTATTGGTTGAGTTTAATTCCTGCTGCCGCTTCTGATGGATGTGGGTTAACGTTAGCGTTAGCTAGCGCTAAATTGGCCCAGTGCATATTGTCATACGTTTCTGTCTACCACAGTTAAATGACCCTTATCTCTTTTAATTTCAAAATATATTCCCCATATTCAAAATGTCCCACATATTGCACTCTAAAGGATTCTCTTTCCTTCCGCTCCGACTGGTGCTTCTAGTAAGACACCTCAATCAGTGAATGAATAACTGTTAGCGGCGGCAACGACGTTGCGTTTAGGTGACTTCCTCCTGGCGTGTGACCTGCGCCCGCTACTCCCTCGCCACAGCCTTTATTGACGTGTGGATGACCATAAATATCGGCATCCTTTCAAGATTGCTTTCATTACCGAGCACATTTGCCTTGAGGCTGTCAGTAGTTGAATTTATACGCAAGTGTTTAAATGAGATAGAGCCCCTGGGGTTTGCCTGATTAAAAAAAAAAAAAAAAAACACACAAAACGGCATCTGTACGCCACCTCCGATGTGAGGTATTGTCTCGAAATGACAGCCATAACCCGTGGCCCCGCTTGTACAGGCTAGGGAGCTGGAAGAGAATGCAGTGCAGTGTTGTAATTGCTTCCCAGGATTGTAAATGGCGGGGGAGGGACTTCTTTAGTGAACACAATGAGCTGCAAATACTCATCAGCTGTGTAATGTAGAGAGCGGATTGTGTGCGACTGTGCTGTCGCAACACGGCGATAAGTGACAGGCACCCTGTACTTGAAGCAGACTCGCTGCTAATCACGTTTGGCATCTCGTTTCCTAATTGGCAAATTTACAGAGGACAGAAACTGTTTTCAACTAAAACAATAACATGTCTGTTGATAACGCTTCGAGTCATAAAGATGGTTCCGTTTTCAAGCCTCTTCAATCCCATACCACGACTTTAAACACGTCATACCACCGCAGTTGGTAATCTAAACCAAGAGTGTCGATTTGGATCATTTGATAAGTTGTTGCTTTCTGTACCAGACAGACTGGTGGTTGTTCACCAAAACACTGAGAAATGTTGACTAGCTCAACAACACTGTTAGGAAGTGCGTGTGAAACGGCACAGAGCGGCTCCTTCAAAAATGCTGACATTGTTGGCACATGGCTGCCATGTAGCGACCATTTTCACACGCTACAGCAGCATTTTTGCCGTGGTCAGTTGGCCCTGGGCGATAATGTCCATATTCTCTTGAACAAAGGAAATGCTGTCGATGGGCTCATCTATCAATATAAATTTGGAGGTAAATATTGATTGTATAGACTAAGCTATGACAAGAACCAAAGTAGGGCTCAGTCACCAACCTCTTCCTCATTCTTCTCCCATGAAAGGAGCAGTTTACTGTATAGAGCAGACAGAACACAGTCGTGCATATTTGTCCTTTTTTTGATGCCAGACTTCAACATGTCTCCGGTGTGTTATGTTGGTGGGAAAGTGTGTGTTTGTCAACAGAAACCCGAGTGCGCTGTCTCTGCAGCCGTGACAGGCTTCGTGTCGGTGTTGTGTGGATGTTACGTAAGCATGTCGTCACTCAGATTGATCCACAGCAATGTTTTTGATTTTTACCTTCAGAGGAGGAGGAGGTGTGAGACTGACTTATGGATCGCAAGGGGATAATGATGCTTTTGGTGTTTGTCAATATGTCGTCTTGGTGCTGACTGCCGCGGTGGTGTTCTCAGCATACAGCGACGCACTGGCTTTTTTTTGGGGGGGAGGGGGGTGGGGGAGCTTGTGCTTGTCCAACTGCTTGTAGTACAGAATTTAGCGTCCAGGCGGTACAATTCCAGGGGGAATTGTGGCGGCTCTGTATGAGGAAACACAAGGAGCATGGAGGGAACTTGTCATTTTTGGTCCGTGTTCAGGTCTTAAAGTGTTAACCAGTCGGGCGATCGCTCACTATGCTGATGTTTGCCTTGGACATTTTCGAAGGATTGTTAAAAGCCGGCAAAACAAATGTCCTTAGATCAGTTCCTTACAAAACACCAGGCAAAAACCACTTCTCAGAGAGAACATGGACTAAAGGGGGCAAAAAAACGCCTTAGGACACAGTTAAAGGTTAAATGACCATTTTTATTCTTTACTCTATTCTTTGTTTTTTTTTTTTACATTATGCACAGCTCTCATTTATTGTGCAAAAATCTAATTGTAACATGTATTTGTTACATATTTTTATGCTTTAGGAAACATTTTTGTCTGAATTTTTGGGGGGGGGTGAAATGAATTAGGGCATTTACTTGGAAAACGCGTCCCTAAATACAACATTTTCTAGTTAAGAAATTTCTTCCAGAACCAATTAATTTCATAAGGAGAGATACCATTGTATACAGTTTTCCATTCAATGGCTGGAGATGAGACCTCTGACTAGGGCGATTGATCGATATTGCTGGTCAGTGCGACCTACACTGAAAATTTCTGACCAAATCAAATTGGCATGAATTGCTTACCTTGTAACATTACTTTAAGAAGAATAACTTTTTTTTTTTTTTTTTTTTGTTTTTTGCCTTTATTTGATGGTGCTCTAGGTAAAAATAGGTAGTGCCACGTTGTAACAGTTCTTGATAATCTATGTCAGGCTTCAATCAGTCATCAAGGCAATTTGTAAGACACGCTGCCCCATCCTGTTTAGTTCATCGCCACCAGACAGATGACAATGTAGACCAGGGTACTGCCAGAGGTGGCCTCACTTAAGACAAGAAGTCCATTTGGGTGGAGACTAAAAGTCCCGTCTGGGCGCTTTCTGCTGCCGTGCCTTTTTTGAAGGACTCATGATGACATATTGGAGCTGTGTCAACTCTGAAAGCTGTGGCGGAGACAGCTGTGGCGGCCACTGTGGGAAACGCTGCTGCAGTGTCTCACCGCCGAACAGTAATCACATTCGGAGGTGACTCTCCGAGTGACTTGATTAATTCGCTTACCTCAGCTGGAAGCAAAAGTGTGCGATGAGCCCAATAAGATTACCCTCCAGAGGGATCTGCAAGGATGTGACTTTTGCAGTTGCTCCCTGGTTTTTCCCCCTCCAAGGCTTTCGATTGGATTTTGTGCATCCACGTGTTATATACTGTAACAAAATATGGACGGAATTAGCACAGTCATACGTAAGCTACTGCGAACACGATTGACACCTACGAACCCAACATGCAGACTGGGTAACGGTTAGCCAGTTGACAGCCAGCCGCTAGCATGCGATCGTAACGGGCAATTCTTCAATCTGATTCACTGACTCCCATGTCACTCACCAGGCCAGGCCCCACCTTGATAAGCCACAATATCAAAATTGGAGCCTCAAGTGAACAACACTTGATACCTGCACATATTTTTATATCATTGAAGAATCCACACGTTCAATCCTAGGTATATATTCATATATATTTTTTTATTTTCACGTGGTAGGTTTACAGAGGTTCTGAAAATGACTGGCACTGATTAAAAATACAAAATCACATTTTATCCGATTAATCGGTAGAATAATCGATTATAAAGATTCTTCAGTAGCCCTGCAGATCTCTGGTGATTTTTTTTTTTTCCTGGCTTCCTCTCTTGTGTCTGAAGTATTGAAGCAAAATGGTGGGTTGACATCAACCTACAAATTAGTACGAGGCCCAGCAGACGGAACTCCGCCAGTCTGTAAGAGGCCATGGCCAGAAAGGGAAAGTGTGACGCCTGAGACTCACTACCGTTGG